TATATTATTTGCTCAGCCTCATGTGGTTGCAAACCTGCATGACATTATTTCATCTGTGGAACACAAAATAGATATTTTGAAGAATGTTTTAATTGGTTTTGTCCGTATATTAAAAGCTAGTGGGACATAAAACATTCAAATTGTATTTGTTATCAACAAAAGAATAACTAGTCTACATTAAATATAGTGACATAAATCGCCAACATCAACTCACATGAAACCTCATTGGTTCTTGCATGTCACATGGCCAGACTTTCATGTCACCATATTTGGTGTTACCAGTTAGACCAGCACCAAACCATCAAACCAGCTTGGACCATCAACATTGGTCTTTTCAGCAGGGAAGTGGCGTTTAATTACTGATTTTCACTTCAGCGATCCAGACAGACTGAATTGATATTGTAGGCTGACATAGTCTCGAATATGGAACTTGTATGGACAGTTTAATAGCGTGTAATTAGAGAACGAGGCAGCAGCATTTCTAGAAAGTGCCTTTTTTAAGATGCCTACGCTTCATCATCACATCTCAATGAAAGCTGATATTTAACAGCTTTGATGGGGCAAATTTGTTTTCGTTTGAAATCTGAACATTAAAAATGTAATTCCTTTGAGCTATGCTGCATTTATGCACATCATATTTGAAGTATGAGAGCTTTGTGTTCCTTGCTTTTCAAAAAAACAGCAAGCATTGCTTTGACAACTGTGGCGTGATCAAATTAAGCCGCAATCAAGTGGGATTAGCTGAAAATGAAATGCCGTTGCCCTTCTCATTTGCTCTGTGCTCACTCTGTGCATGCTTAATGCTGTGGAGAGTTTGAATTCTGTGTGTTGAGAAGTAGAAGTTTGTTCATAGTTCCCTGATGGGGCGTAACAGTCCCCACCACCACCTACCACCTTTGCCAATGAATGGATAAAGCATGAATCATACTTACAGAGAACATTTTCTCCTTTCTTGAAGCTGTAAAAATAGCCCAATTGATTTGTGAATCATCCGAGTGTGTTTGACTGACTGATTTTTCCTGACTGGTGTGGTGTAATGGGGCAATTGCTGAGACATTACACAGCTGGCATTGCTCCGCATGTGTCCAGAGGATGGCGTCATAAAGCTACAGGAGGTTGTACAGACCCCTGACCCTCTGCGAGATACTTGTGTGCATGTGGCAGAAAATATCTTTGAGTGATTTTATGGTTGTGTACAAAATCTTTCTTTGGTACACATAACTTCTGGACTTAAAAAGTCTCATATGCTCAGCCGAACCATTCATAATAGTGAGTAAACTTACTGATC